CTGGGTTTTATACCAGCATGTTCCCACCTCCCTTCCCCTCGGGTCCCAAAATAAAACTTTTCTATGAACACTTCAAAGGCTAGAAATAGCCTTAAAAAAAAAAAAATCTTCAAAATGAGTCATAGCACTTTTTTACATTCTCCACTCAATTTTAAGTCACTTTTTGATCTTGATGTCTATCAATCAAGACCCACTGTCCTTTCTTCCCCAATTGATTTTCTTTTTTCTTCTCCCTCTGTGCATTCAAAACCTCAATTTTCAGCCAGATGCTTGGGCACCTTATGACCAGGAATCTTCATGGAGCAGCAGCTTTCATGGAACCACAGTCCTGCTTTCTACATATTAACACTTGCTCAAAATCAGCAAAGCAGCAATCTAGCTGGTCACTTAGGAACCCCAAGTGTATGAATAAAAGTACTTTTAAAATACAGCTTATGTGAGTTACATGTACAGTCAGTCTTGCCGCGTTAGAGATTCGGGACACACTGCTGGCCTTCTACGACCACAGAGGTGATGGGAAATCAGAACAACCAGTCTCCCCTCCAATTTCTCAAATATCAATCCAGCTAAACTCGTCACTGTTACCACAGAGCAAAGTTTGACCTTGCGCTGATGAAACTGGCTTTTATTAGTGTAATAAAAAGTATACTAATTTGCATTCACTTCAGTAAGCATCCCTCCAGCAAGAGCGACTGCAATTCCACACCTTAGTAATCAAGCAAGCAGTACTCTGCAACGTTTGTTTCCCCCCTCCTGGTAACCCCCCCCCCCCCAAATTCTTCCCACAGGCTTGGCTCAAGCCAGCCATCAACTCAGCTGGCCCTCGATCAAATCAGCTTTTGCAGCCACCTCACACTCTACCTGGGTGCGTACCATGCTGCACACGCATGAGACAGACTGACACACAGAATGAGAGGGCTACTGCCCTTCACTAACATACTTGTTTCAATGGTTTACCTGGAGTTCCTCTGCTGTGGAGACATCCAGTCCTGTTAGGTCCTGTATCCTTGTGTTAATGCGCGATACCACAGGGCTTTCATAGCCAGACAACCAAGCACTAAGTTTAAAAAAAAAAAAAAAAAATTAATACACTATGTGGTAATAGCCAATAAGCTACCAATACAAATGCCTCATTTGGCAATGCTTCTAAGTTGAGGTTTTTTTTTTCTCTCATTCTAGGAAAAAAAAAGGGTCAGAAGTATTTCCAGGGGCATTACTGAGACTTGCATTTAATAAGCTGTATTGTCTAGAGCGCACGCTTACAGCAATGGTTTACGAAAGCCCTAAAATTAAGGGCCTTACTGCCCATACTGGGAACTAGCAGACTGAGAAAACCCATACTTAAGCAAACACCATTCCAAACAGTGAGAGTTGGCTCACGCTATTGTCTAAAGCAGGCATACCACAGGTTTGCTCGTACCCATGCCAAACAGCTAATTTAGGCCACACGCTTGCTACACTTTGAAGCAGCTCCTGGGAGAGCGGCTTCAGGGGACCTGCTCTAGTGTGCACAGGGGCTACGTAATTGTAACTCAGCTCTCCTGGGTCAGCCATGCGCGGCTGCGCAAGCCCTCTGCGCGCTGTCATTTCACATTACTTACCTGTCTGGCAGTACTTAAAAAAAAAAACAAACACACACCACTAAGGAAACAATTAAATAAGGCATAAAACCCTTCACTGGTTTCCCTGTTGAACAATTCCTACCAAAATGGCCTAAGAATTTGGTAATTAGCACGATTCAGGGACACAAGGATTAAAATATAGAGTTAGTCCTCTCTGGTACACGAGTCAGCCTCACAGTTCCAAAACCAGCTTCAAAGTGTCTGCCTCCGCTTTACAAATTAGGAATCGTCAGCTGGAAATGCTGCATTTGAAACACTTGGCAAACTAGTCAGCAGAGACGGGTACAAAACAGCTACTGCAGCAGTGCTACACAACAAGTGCTGCCTTCACCCAGCCTGTCTCTTGACCCAGTTTAACTTTTTTTTTTTTTTTTTTAAACTATGCTAAATAGTTGCTCAGTCTTTAAAGCCGGATGACTGGACAGCAGCTATGTCATCCAAAAGCAGCCACACACATATCCCAAATACTGCTGGTTGGCAGAAAAGCGCACAAGCTTAGTATGGCCACAGCTTTGCGCATCCCTGCTGGCCCCTTACCAGCCCTGAACACATCCAGTGACTTACATGGAAATACACATGCATTTCAGCTCTTTATAAAAGAGAGGTAGCCTGTTCATGTTAAAGAAATAAATAGTAAGCCCATAGCTCCACCTGCCTTAAAAATAAAACAAGGAAACCCCCCCTCCTCCATCTGCTCACATGGTGCTTGGTTTTTTTCTTTACTCCTCCAGTTCTAGCCCACTGCACCTTTACTGTCTCTGCTCCTCTTTTCTTTCTCTGTGCAGGCTCGCTACCCACCTGGTCCTCTTCTCTGTTTAACTTGGCAGTCCTCTCACTAGTGGCTAATATTCATGATAATAATAATGTTTTTTTTGGGGGGGGGGGGGGCATTTTTCCCTCACTACAGCAAGACCACTAGTTCTACCTTTTCTCTAGCATGACTTGGCCGCTGGGATCATCAGTGGTTCCTGCTGCTTTTACAGCAACTGTTCCAAACACATACCCGGGCTCAGAACCCAGCAGGCAAGTATGTTATATGGCATTTCTACTCAAATGAAACATTACATCTATGCTAAATTCAAATTTTTGGGGGGTTTGTTTTTTTACATAATTAAAAAAAAACACACACACACACACACTAGAATGCTTTGCATGGGAGGAACAGTAGCATGACACGTGACACAAGGCACTGACACAGGTTACAGAATCTCTATGAACGTGGATTTTTTTTTTTTTTTAAACAAAATGTGAACTATACAGAGAAGAAATAAAATTTCTCAAGACAGACTTGTGCCAACACATAGAAAGCTCCATCCACTTCTGAACACTGTTACTGTAAGAAAGTGTTATAGTGCGATCCTGCTAGACTTAAGGCAGTAGGAGAAAGCAAGACGACTGTGTCTATGAAGCACTTCCCAAACGAAAAGAAGCCATGCAGCCCGCATGCTCGCAGCCACATTCAACAGGCGATGCTCACAAGCAGTCCTAACCTCACACTTAATACCCAAGAAAAGCCCAGCGCAGCCCTCAGGCGAGCCCAGCACGTCTTCAGCATGCACACGCTCGCTACCGCTGTCCCGTCTACCGCAAAAGCTTAAAACAAACAAGCAACAAAGAAGCCCAGCATTCTTAACTGCATTCGTTATTTAAAATGGCAGTGAACGCTTTCAGCCCTTCATCAGGGAGAATACTACATCATTTCATGAAGTAAAAATATTATATGTATTTTAGAAATAAAGTTAATTGCCCATGGATACAAAGAAAGTCTATGGAAGGGGGCGGAAATGGGAAACTGAAACTATTTTTCAAGTGCCAGACTTGGCACCAGGCAAATTTCAAAGGAGGCCTGTAGTTCTCAGCAGTGTCACCTGAGCAGCGAGAGCATGATTTAACCCTGAAAACATCACGAGCTCGGCTTCCGCGAGAGCACAGAGCTCGGCAGGGCCTGCAGAGCCCCACGCGGCTTTTCCAGCATCAGGTCTCTGTACCTGCTGCCTTTAGGGTGCACAGGAAGGGCCTTCAATTCTAGCAGGCTTTGTTTCAGCTGGCCTTCACACACGACAACAACCCCTTCTACGCTGTCCTTTTTCATTGCTAGTCTCAGCCTTGGTCCTCCAAGGATGCAGTTAGTCTCACTTTGGTGCCGACATCGAATCGAGTGTCCCGTTCAAGACTGTGGAGAGGAGGTGTTCCTTCACTCAGAGAAGTCTTTTTCCTGTTCTTATCTGCCAAGAAGCCACTTTCCCCCTCGCCAGTGGCACGTGCGATACAGGATTAACAGGTTGTTGAACTGTGCTCCAACTTTCCAAATATGTGCAGTCCAAGGTTCAGAGCAATTCATAATTAAACGCACACAAGTTCTGCTCTTCAGCGGAAGTTTGTTAAGCCGCTCGCTCGGATGAAAAGCACTCCGTTGTGTTTTTGACTAGCTGACGCCCATGATTCCACTATGGGCAGAAAACTTATTCTTAAGAAAATGGGACAAACTTACTGATTTCATACAAAGGGAAGCCATAAGCATTGCAGTTTAAGGTGCAACCACAATGACTTTGCTTACTAGAGGATTTGACGTTTCCTTAAAACCTGCCACATCAAAAGCCCAAATTCCCAAAGACTACAAAGCACCAAAAGACATCCATGAACTAAGCTTCCATTTTACGGAAACGGAAAGTAGTTCATTAAAGTGCTCAATACACACTGGGGGTGTTTCGTTTTTTTCCTCCTCACACCAAGATCTGGCAGCAAGCTTTTAACTTTATGTTCAGTATGAGCAGCTAGCTCTTTTTTTTTTTTTTTTAAAGAAACATTTACTCTTTAAATTGTCTCAGATACCCCATTAGAGATTTGAATAGCATAAGATTTCATAAACAAAATAAGATTTGTACGTAGAAATACTTTAGACTAACCAGCGTATTTGGAAAAAACAGACAACTGTCCAGATACGAGCTCGTGTGCCCAGAGGCCAGTCTGCTTCTCTAACTGCGCTAAGCTAGTCTAGTAACAGACGCTACAAACCTCACGGCCTTAGTCGCAGCTCCAACGGCAGCGCACTAGACTATCCCAGCATGGCTTCTGTAACGATTATTGGTTGAATGAAGTAGTCCTGTGTGTTTAAAACTTTCTAGAATGTTTTTACTTTGTAAAAGTATTAGTAGAGAGGCAACAGTGATTGCATGAAAACCCAGGCTGGTATTCCTGCAGAGGCAACTTTAACATCCTATGCTATGAGCGTCAGCTAGCTGCCTGAAGGAAAGAGCGCGGAGGAAAAAGGTGGGGGAGGAGGAGGAGCAGCTGCTTGAAAAGCAGCGTAGTGCCAGACTGGCTGAATTTATGCTGGTATTGCACACAGCATGGCTTGATGGTGCTCCTCGTACTGCTGGCAAGGTGCCCCCTTTTATACAGTCTGCCACGTACTGCACAGCGAACAGTAGTCCTCTCAAAGAGAGGAATGCTGTAATTTAGATGTGCATTTGCTAGGAAAGAATGTCTGAAGGGGAAAGCAGTAAGCGATTAAAAAAATAAAGCGAGCATTTTTTGGTTTTCAGGAGCAATGATTCATCTGGAACCCAAACCAGCTCAAACAGCCCCAGCAGGAGGACGTTTCTACCAGTGATTCTGCAAGAAAAGTTCCAGTGATCTAGCATGAATAACATGATTTTTCTGAAGCAGTCTGGCGCGGGGTTTATTTCCCATCAGAGTTTTAGCAGTCAAAGTCTCCCAAAGTATATACCTCCTAAAAAACTAGCATGGGGAGGAACGCAAAGGAGAGGGGAGGCACGAGGAAGGGCGATTCCCCTCCTCCCACGCCTATGGCCATCCCTTTACTCAAAAGAGTTCTCTTCGCTAACTCCTTAGCGACGTCTTACACCCGTTTACTGCTACTTCTCCTTGCAGTCCCAGATGTAGCTTCCAACGAGATAAGGAATTTAAACACTGAGCCCAATACAATCTGATTTCTTTCTGTGAGTTCCCTGTGTACACTGGAAGGAGTCCCAGACTGACACCTCCTGGAGCACCAAACCCTGCCAGTGTAAGTAGTTTTAAGGCTCTTATTCACAAGGTACTAGTCGCTAGGCTTTATTCCAGGTGTGCAGCACACCGAGGTGCCAGCAGCACTTGGCTCTTGTACTTGATCACACAGTTCCTAGGCCAGGTAGAGCGCACAGCGGGTGCTGAAATGACATTGCATCCCTAAGAAAAATAGTTATTTGGTCATGTCTCCCAGGAAGCCAGCGGTAAGGGCAAACAGCTCTGGCTGCATTGGGCCCAGTCCGACACAGGTTCACGAGGAAAACGGCTGGTAATGACGAGTACTGTCTAACACTTTCTCCGACTATGGCATTTGCAATGCACGCAGAGCTGCATATAATCCAATTCCCTTCACAAACACAAAATATAGTCTTTAATATGTGAGATAACAGCAATAATACACTTGGTAGTCGCTGAAACGCCTAGAACCCCCATATTAACAGGGTGTTCAGCTATGTGATTATCAAAAGTGAAAGTACTATTTCCTTATATAAGCTGAAATTGGTATATTAACATTGCCAAGTAGCTGAAAGTTAATGGTCTTACGGATGGTTCTGTCTGTATCATTGCAAGATACAGCCTAATCGGTACCACGTTTCCAAGGCATAAGACTTCCCACTAAAGAGAAAGCAAAACTCTAAAGAAAAAGTCCTGTCAGGAAGGGTTGTCCGTTTACATAGGGGCCAATTACGCATCTCAGTCGCTTTCAGTTAGCGATCCACCCGCTAGCATCAGACAGCGCATCAAGTTCACGGTAACTGCGACAGCGTGTCCACGTGGACTAACCGGCATCTTCTACAAATGCCCCAAACCGCTTGAGTCACAGAAGACGAATCTTGAAACTGAACAAATGCTTTCTGCAAAAAGCATGCTCGCAGATGACCGAGACAGAACACAAAAAGACTTACAAATAAAATTTAAAAAAGAATGAAATCTAATGCATGGCAAGTAACAAGCCGTATGTTCCTAAAGTCGTTCTGGCCAGGACCCACGAAAGTAGTTTTAAGGAACAAATATGTAAGAGCTCGCTTTTGACACTTTCGAAAAGACTCCAAATATTTGCACGCGCCTTGAAGAGTGAAACTACATGTTTTGAAAAATGCAACGTAGGGGGTGTGTGTGTGTAAATACAAATTTTTTAACTTGCCGCTACTTGTAACAAAAACGGTCTTAAAGATGAGATTTCAGCTATAAGGTTTGGTAGTTCCCATACCGGTTACAATCATCCCTGGATCAATCAAATTTTGTGATGAGTATTTGGAAGCACTTTACCTGTTTAAAGTATTACATAAATAAATAAAGCACATTTCTGCTTAAGCTATTACGTCTTTCTAATTTCCTTTTTGTTCAAGGAATATGAATCAATACCAGGGTTTCTATTAAAGCAGCAACTACTTTCAATCATTTAGTATTATTACAGTTACCAGCTAGCATTAACTTGCAGTATACCTATGAATTACAGCAGCTCATCGGGTGCCTAGTTCTCAGTACAGAATTTATCAACCCTGAAGGTCAGAGGTGCAGAGGAGTGACACACAGCCTTCTCCGATTGTTAGTGTAAGCAGAACCCTTCACTTTGACAACATTTTTAGTACATTAGTTGCATTATGCAGGCCATGACAAGCGAAAGTGGAAACCTGGGGTTTTAGCTACCACCTAACATTTAAAAATACTTTAAACTTCAGCAGACCACTTGCTTGACTACGACAGTTATTTCGCTTTAGGCCGTTCTCCTCCTTCTAAAGAGGAGGAACACACCCGTATATGCAAAATCCTTATTTGCCCCACGTTTAGAGATGAAGCAGTGCAGTCACAGAACAGACTTCCTCGGACTGGGTGAACCTTCGGAAGACGTTCCCTTACCTCTTAGAGACTCTGTAATGTGCTGTGGTCAGTTTCCCAGTCTCAGGGTCATGCACAGTAGCACGGCTCAGCTACAAAAAGAGAAAGGACAAGGGCTTACCCACGTAGTAGGCTGCTTTTTTGCCAAGCCACAGGTGTTTGAAAGGGTTCCGATTGGTCTGGATGGTATGCAATGCTCTTAAATTAGCAATATTAGAAGGGCAACAGAAGCTGCAGCTGCCATTTCCAAATCAAAACAAATCGGTTGGAAAAAATTTGGTTAGATTGTCCTTTCACTTTTTTCCTCTTTTCCTTGTTTTTTGGTTTTTTTAACTAGAGACTTTCTGCAAATAGTTTATGGTGCTGAGTTTCACAGACAATTCCTCTTCATGCAGACGTTTAGCCTTTTTGAGAATTTTGGCCTAACTGAACTTTAACCACCTTTAACCACTTTAAAATTGGGAGGGAGGGGGGACTGGTTTCTTTTCAAGGCAGCCAGGCTTGCTCTTGAAGTACGTTTTGGAAAACAGTTGCTAAATTCAAGATTTGCAGCACTTCATAGGCAAACTGGAAAGAACCAGGAGTCCAGTTAAAAAAAGAAGTTTGCTTTCTGTCAAATTTGCATCAGCAGGAGGCAAAAGCCCAGACAGGAGCACGGGATTATCTTGGACCATGAAATTCTGTGAGACTAATGAATGTGTGTTTTGCACGCTAATCCAGCTGTCGTGCAGGATAATGAGCTGAGGCATCTCGCACGCAGGTAAAGGCACTTTGTAAGTGGCAAGGAAAAGGAGGACGAGTTTTAATTGATGATGATAATAGCAAGGGAAAGGGAACTTTAAAAAGAGGGATTCTACTGAAGGTTTTGTACCTTCGTGTGTTTGTACGCTGAACGTACTTAAAAGACCTGCTTCTTGTATAGATTATTAACTGAGAACACACACCAAGAAGGTGACCTTTTTTTTTTTTTTTTTTTTTAAATAATCAAAACACAATCCCAGAACTACCAGCTGAAGGAAAACACTGAGAAACTCAGCAGTAACAGCCTGTTACAATATCTGCATATAATAAAGCGGTGGACTACAAAGCCAAGTTGTCTTTTTAGACCACCTCTTTCCCCATAATGAGCAGAATCTACACACTCATTACAGGCCCAAAACGTCTGGCATAGAGCTCTCTTACCTTTTGCTAATTCTGTAATGTGCCGTCTCCAAGACTCCTGTTATGGGGTTTGAAATGGTGGCTCGCCTCAGCTGTGAAGCGAACCATCAGAATAGTTGCATTACAAAGCACATACGGCATCACAGCAATCCGACCATTCAGAAGCCTACAGGAAACGCCACACAAGCTGCCACGCAAGCCACCCAGTCACCTTCCGTGGTGGTGTCTCTTTTATCGAGGGGGAAAAAAAAAATCAGAAGCAGTGATGGCGAGGAAGGGGAAGCCTGCGATTTTACTTAAAGAGAAGTTTTAACAGCACCTTAGAGAAAAATTGAGTTTTCTAAGAAATAACGTTTCCGTTGCTGGAGCAAGAGGAACAGCTGTCTGAATAAAATAAACTAGAAATTTTAATTTCCTTCATATTGGAAAGACTGCTGGCAGCTGTGCAATATGACACATGTACAATCGGTCCTTTGTTAACACTCTGTCCTGCGCAGTTAAGATAACCTTTACAGTTAAACCAAATCACTGAGCTTGCGTAAAGGGAATATGATTAATCCTCTACCTTAGAGGATCTTTCCTTAACCACAACAGCACTGAAGCGAACTCCTCTAACGTTGACTACTCACAAAAAAAAATGACTTTGTTTAGACTGTGGACACATTTACATTGTGGTCCTTACAGAGAGCGAGGACTTTTGCCTCAAGGCCTTGCCTTTCCCTCTATCATTCTACAGTTATGTGGTACCATCTCATTTAAGTTAATATTCTGATTCAGTACCTTACATGTGCTACATAACTTTGTTCGTGTGCTTTTCCATGCGTGGAAAGCTTCAGCTTCAGAGCCCAGTGTTTAGGAAAAAATGTTCCCCATTTTGGTCAGTTCTAGGAACAAAAAGGCATACCAAGTCCCACAACAATTAGAAGAAATGTTTTTCTTTGCTTAAAAAAAAGAAGAAAGAAAGAAATCAAAGCTTCTCCATCTCTACTGACAAAACCAGGTATGAGGGACTCTTCAATATGCAGCCTCTCCTCTCGTCCCTTGCAGAAGCACAAACTGTTACTCCAGAGAGACTCCCAAAGCTGAATAATACACTTTCACCCTGACAGCTTATGCCAGAGCAGGAGAAGGCCGGGCACAGACCATACAGCTGTGTCTTCCGAGAGGCAGAGACGGTATCATCCTCGGCGTCCAGGAGGGAGACAACCTTTCTGTCTTAAAAATCCACACGCCTCCTGTTACATCAGTTGCCGAGCCCTGCAAGACCTAGGCTGCAGGAAAGACGTGGAACGCTAACACTGTAAGGATGCTTCTACATTAATGAACTGTGCTATCTGCAAGGCTTTACCGCAAGTCAAACATTTCGTAGGAAAACAATTATCTCAGCAAGTTTAGAAGCTTAAATCTGCCACATGTTCAGAGACCCATGCAGTTTTTCTATTTTCAGTGATGAGGTTTATTTCTATTCCATAAAGAAATGATTTAGTCATATTCCAGAGACATAATGCCAGAGCTTTTCTGCAGCAGCAAAGGGGTTTAATCATCAAACAACCGGGACTCTGACTTGCAGATCTGCAGCAAGGCTGCCTGACAGGAGAGCAGGAGGAGAGGTTTTAGGGCTAAGCAAAGAGAATTGTTTGAACTTTCTTGTTTATAGTTCAGAATGTCACTTCACAAATACAATGCATCATCAGCCTTTACCAAGCTTTAAAATTTGCTTCTGCCTACCTAGCACGCAGGGCTGCGACCAAGGACAGCCTCGTGCTTGATGTGCCCATGCATAACCCACATCTGTTTTAATCTGTAACAGACCTAGCTAACAGTTTGCCCCATATTTAATGCGCTTATTCATCTAACCTACATCGGCTTTCCCTGGACCAAGAGCCATTTAGGCTAAAAACAAAGGAAAAGGCAGATAAAATGATATAGACAAGCTTAAATCTTATTTTAGAAGTAACTGGCAACTGATAAAAAATAAATAAATAAATCGACTACATCTTAAATGCACATCTGGAGCTGCACAGTCAAACCACATGGATACAGAAGGCAAGTAGGTCAGTTTTGTTTTCTTTTTTTCTTCCTCTTGGACACCCCGGTTACATTCTGACAGTTGGGCTGTATTATTTTGAATTCAGAAACAAGAATCTTGGATCCGGTTTCTGAAACAGGATTTGATGAGCTGGAATTGCCAATAAGAAGCTGAGTGACATCAATTAAGTACTGCCTTGTTGAAGCTTTCACCCCCAGGTAACTTCAAACCAAAAGATATATACAAAACCTGGGAGACAAAGTCAGTTTTACATTGACCGGAGAATACTAGCATTCGTTACTGTCTATTCAGTACGTTAAAATAAGGTGACACCCAAGACCAGAGGAATGGCTGCCTTTCCCTAAAAGGCACTGTTCTGCATGTCACAGCTTTGGCAAATATGGAATTAAGAAAGCAAAAACAAACCCCCCTAAAACCCATAATATCCACATGACAGGTGCATTTTGAGACAACCTAGCTGCACCATGTGTTCTGTTGTGCAGCGCTCTCCTCCTCGTCTGAAACAGTGCACGCTGAGATTGTGTCTTCCAGAAAAGTCTGCCAGTCCTGGACTGCTGTTACCTGGCTCTCTTAGTTACACAGAATTTCCAGCTTCCCCACTGTCCCTTTAAACAGTGCGTCACCAAGAGTCACGAGGTGAGAAAGCACACTGCACACACCCAACTGCACGCATCTCTGCATTCAAGAGGAGACAGAATCACACACACACACGCACGCACACCCCCCTACGAACAGAATTTAGGATTCCAAAAGGCAACCAAGTGTAAGGCATTTACCCTTGGCTTTGCTAGCTCTTTCACAGTTTCGATCTCGTCATCGGAGATGATATCAAGGAAACGAACGATTCGAGGTTTGTCCCACTCATCTTCCTGTTTGACAGGACCCAGAATGTACCTAGGATTTCTGTTTCCGTCGTAGTAGCGGCAGAAGAGTCTTTTTTGCCTCCGCGGGGTCTGAAAGCACGAGAGAGATAATCAGAATGTGTCCATATTAACATTAATATCTCTCAGAAATATTAGAGGTCTTGAGAATAAGATACAGGAACAATTCACTTTCCCTAACTTACTTTTCGGTTACTCGTTAAAGAGATGCTTTAATTTAGAGAAATTTAGAGAAATCAGTGCTTTAAGCAAATGCTGCAACAAGCAGTACTTTACACAAGCGACTACTCACATTGCTAAGTCCTATCAAAAATAACTAATTGCGTTGCTGAAGGAAGAAAAACCCTCATTCATACATAAACCCACACTGCAGCATACTTACTCAGTTAATTGCAATTACTTAGTGCATTCGCTGGCTTATTAAGTCAGTCAGCAGTATCTGCGGCAGTATTGTTTTTTCTTTACTGGACAGAATGAAACAGGGATGAAATCCAACACACACTAATCCTCAGCTCTGTATACTCAGCCAACTGCTACAACAACTTCCTCGCTTTCAGGCCACATACAAACTCCTGACAATGTTTGTTATGGTTGGTTTTGTACGCTTGTACATTTTAAAACAGTCTACTGTTTTAGTCCACTTTACCATTTTGAGACCCTCCCCACGGCACAGCATTTCGTACTTCCTTCTTTCAGGCAGGTAATCCTTTCTCTTAACCTCAGTTTCCTTCTCTGCCTGGTCTTCTGACTCCGGACTAGATTTGTTCGCTTCTTTTTCTTTAGCCATGATATATTCAAAATATTTCATGTTTCCATTTGCTCTTTGATGTTCAGGATCTATTGACAAAGAAAAGGACAAGACAACACTAGAAAGCTAACAACTTGCGAAGTAGTGCACAGGAGAGGCTATTTACAAACAGGGGGAAAAACCGGACACACACTACTGCTTTTCACACGGTAATTAGTGAGCTTCTGCTATTCTGGCTGGAGAGCATTCACGGTACAGTTGAAACTTCTAGCTAGTCCATAAGTCATGCTGGCCTGTAGCATGCACATAGACTTACTCCTCTGCAGGAGGATACACGATGAGCTTTCAGAGTTGAGCTTAACTCTTTCACATTTAAGAAACTGCTTCTGGCGAGGCCAGCACCCCACCCTCAGCCTCAGCACTCACAGGGTCCGAGCACTAAGCATGAATAGGTTTTGGTCATTCCAGCCAATACAAGCAGAGAGGGAGGGACAGGGAAATGGGAGCGGACAGGCAGAGAGCTGGGACATCACGACTGGCTTTACACCAAACAACCTCCCTGATGGGAATTAAGATTGCCGGTAACAAAACTTCTAACAGTCACCGCACTTACACAGTTTTGCTTCAGTTCGTTAACAAAGGGTTCTCACTAGCCATTGCTATAAAAAGATTAGATTTGGTTCTAAACTTCCCAAGCCATCTTCTACACAGTGCAGTACTTACAGAAAGATAAATGCATTTGGTATTTCATCAGATGGACAGAATTTTAGCTCATTGTACTGCATTCTGTATTTCTTACTTCTCCAGTTTTTTCAGCTCAAGGGTGCTCAATTTGCATTTAAATGAAAATTTGGAGAGAATCAGATGTTATCCATTTAGTTTCAATTTCATTAATTTTTTTCCTCGCCTGTACTTAAGGGAAAGTAATCTCAACTTATTCTAGAGCACAGGAAAGTAAAATAATAGTAAGAAAACTGATTTCAGACAGTAAAGATTAAAATTGGTCATTAGAAGCCAGGAGGCAAAAGTTACTTCAACAGAACGGAGCAATCGTTAACCATGACGCTTTCTGTCACTGTAGTTTAGAATATAATTGCCCGTTTAAAAGGGCAGCGAAATACGATTTACGGTAGTAATAAGTCTTATTTCATTGAAAGCTACCCCAAGATGTTAATGGCAATATCAGGAACAATCAATTTTTAAAACCCATATACAAGCCAGAACGTAAGACCAGCACCTGCTGTACAACTCAGACGCTAACACCTCCTAGATCATAGAGCTGGACCTTGCTGAGCTGTGCATCTCTCTGGACATACCCAGTTCAAGAAGGCGTTTGGTGAGCCTCACTGCTTTGCTCAGATCCCCTTGCTGATACACGGCGTAACTCAGATAGTCCAGGATGTAGACTTTATCCACAGAAGAAACTTCTCCCTCATCCAACTGTTTCAGAGCTTGTTCCATCCAGAGCTCGGTATGGTAGTAGTCAGCCTCAGTATAGGCAATCTTTCCCAGCTCAAAGCAATCCTCAGCCGTTAAAAAGGATTTGTGCTTTACGCCTATATTAAAGAACCAAACCAAACAAAAAAAAAACCCACAGATTTCACACACAATTCTGCACAGATCTTCAGAGCGACATTCAGTTATTCCTTATGCGTCACAGCACAGTTTATTTCTGTTCAGGTTCTAGTCTTAAACATCTGCCGTCTGTGGTGGCTACTTGTTGCGGACTTAAATATTCAGGTTTAAATATTCAACGCCTGGAAAATTTTCATAGCAGAGTATAGAACTGGTTAGACAGAGTTTTCCATTGCCAAAATGCCAGCAACTAGTTTCAAGGTCTTTACGATTAAGGAAATAAGATAAATAAATAAATAAACCCTCCTTCCCCCAAATCCCCAACTTGTTGAGCAGGAGCAACAGTGACCCAAATACAAAGTTGCAGAAATCAGTTTCCAAAGATTTTGTATGATTGTTTTCGAAACGTTACTGCAGCACATCTTGCTAGGAACTACTTAGCAGGGGAAGGGAAAGAAAAGAGTAGTCAGTAAAAGCCCAGCTGCCGAAGATTTTGAAGTAAATCATTTTTAGAAACATTTTAAAGGACCTCTGAGAGATTAAAGCTCTAGTAGGCAAATTACAGATTCCTATTTTGGCCACTGCAAATTAAGGCCCACTGAAAAACCAAATTTAATCTTGTAAAAAGGAACCACAATATCTATGAGATAATGAAAAAAAGCAAATTCAGTCAGGCACAGAAGCAATTTTTTTCTTGTTCAACACCTGCCAGTTTTACAGCTAAAGTTATAATGCTAACCACTTAATAAATCCTGAATTTCTAACACCAGCTCCCAGCTGTGTTTTGGCAGGTGTAATTTTCTATTGAAGACAAGCCTTCAGACGTTAAATAGCTGAAGAGACAGCCCACAAAAAGGGGCGTTCCACAGAAAAACTTTGTTTCTGCTCATTAGTTGAACATCTGGTGCTCTACCCTGTATCCTGTTTCAGGTTCTGGAACCTGAAGAGACCTGCAAACTCTAAGGTAATGCAAAGATTAGATAATCTGGTAAGGGGATGGTGGAGGGGCACAGACAAAGAGATCCTCTGGAACGAGTAAAGGCTGCAGAAGCAGCTTAACATCTACAGATGAGGACTTAAAAGGGTGCTTAAAATAGCAGTAATCAAATAGCACTGATAATTAGTATAAAGAAACAAGGTAACTTGTAATGCAGGAAGTCAAAAAGAGAATTAACCAATAATAATAATGTGACAGTAATAGTTGTATAATAAGCAAATGAGAGTCGTTAAGAATCTGATCAAAACTTGGCCACCGAGCAATAGAAATTCCCTGGGAAAGAAGACAAAGAACACAAGTGAGCGCGTGGTATGTTCCACCCTGCCGCCTTGAAAGCCAAAACAGCAAACTATTTTCTTTTACGCTCTAGAACTTTTGATTGTGCAATTAGACTATTTTTATACACAGTTTGGACTGTGCAGTGATTCAAAAGAAGCAATAAGCTACTGTCCACCCGCTTTGTATTTTTGTGCTGTTATCAGAAAAAAATGAACTTATTTCTGTAGTAGAATGAAACTGTAAGTCTTTGAGACAAAGTCTTCAACTCAGCTCGAAAGCAAGGTTATACCTCCTAACATATAAAGCCAACTACTTTTAATTTCATTAGACATCTGACCACAATGAGTGTTTGTGAAAAAACACGGATTGTACAGCACAGATTTCCGGCCAGTTGGCACAGCAGTATTTTTGAACAGAGGAAATTAGAGAAAAACTGGCCGAGAAAGAGTCTTCTAACAAAAAAGAAGTGTGTTTCTCCTGCTTATAATCTGTTAAACATTATCTTAGGTAAAGCCACATAAGTGCCAGTGTTTTGTATGTGCCCCATATGTTCCCATTTTCTTTCTCCCAGGTTATACACACTACAAAACTTAAGCTCAAAGAAACTTAAGTCACTTAACATTTTACCACTCCCAACCTAAAAGGTTCATCTTATCACTGAGAGGGAAAGGAATGATAAAACAAGTTTTGTTAAAATGCATTACAGTGTGCTATAAAACTAAGTACCTGCCAGTATACAGCTAGCTTAACAACAAGGAAAATACTCACCCAAGCAAGATTTTATTCCTAGTGATTTTACTAAGACCTATTAGCACTAAATTCTCTTACCATAAATAGAAGAAAGACGCAGACTTCAACTAAGGCTTTTTTTTTTTTTAATCACTTATTCAAGCAATGAACTTGTTTTTACCCACTGAATTAAATTTAAGGCATGCATTTAAGGTCTTGTATTCAGGTAAGAATGCATATTCAGGCCAGGCTAATCATGATATTTCAAGTAAGACAAGAAGCAGGCATATAAATGGAAAAAAAAAAAATTCACTTACAAGTCTAAATAGCAATTTTCAAGTTCTAGCACAAGCAGACCACGAGTATGTGAGGAGAGCGAAGAGAACGAAAGTGAAGTCTAAATTCAGAACGAACCTCGTATTCTGTGCAATACTTGTACCACAGCAACCTGAAAGACAGTGTGCTAGCAGTAGAAAGCCCATCAGGCAGCAAAGCCGAGGGAATGTACTTTCCAACAGAACCACCATAAGGATAGACCTGTCAGTATGCCAAGGATGGGTCCCTGGGTTCCTCTCCACCGGTTCAGTCTGAAGCAACAGGCTCTCTCCTGAACTGTGGCAGAGTTAAAAATTACACCTATGTCAGCCTGTATTCAACTACCCACATCACACCACTTTTCAGCCAGCTCAAATGTTTTTCTCGTCCTGGTACCTTCACGCTACGCAACTACACAAGAGGAAAAGAAGTCAAGGGATTTGTAATCAGGACATTTAGTAAGTTCACAAGTGTCTTCTGAAAATAACGTAGATTAATCTTACCTGGGAGATTGCCTCTTGAGAGGGTGTCTGTATCCAAATTGTACGTGTCTTGAAGCCGCAAGAGAGCTTTTGCAGCACCAGTCTGATCTTCATCATTTGGGAAAAACTGGCGCTGGATAGTCATGTTGGAGATAAAGCCTGGGAAGACAGGGAAACACTTGGCCTTTTTTGTCCTAAGAATTCAGTTCAGAACATTATGTCAAAAATGACTCCCTACTCTAATAAAAAAAAAAAAAAAGAGAGTATAACAGAATAAAATCAAATAAATTTACATATAACAAAAAGACCTCCACCACATGGAGAACATTACAGATACCGTACTGACAGTTTCTGTAACCGTTCCACTCAAACCTTCTTCCAGAAGATTTTCTGTTCAGTATCACTGAACTTGCAAATAATTTAGGACAGAAAAAAACAATCACCAAGGAATAACAGTGCAAAGATTAAGGCTGGTCAGTATGAAGATGAAAATAAAATGCTGCCATCTACCCTCAAACAGCTGTTGACAGGACTTTAAGCAAATAATCAGGCGCTAGGAGCCTAACTGCTTTTTTGTAGACTTGGACATTAACCTATTTACATACAAACTTGAGAAAGATCCAAAGGTAAAGAGATTTCTCAAGAAAGTTTCTCATTTTCACAAAACTCAAAATACAACTAGAGACACATTTTGAAACGCTGAGCATTTCGATTGTTTTCAGAAAAGACAGCAAAGGAACACCAAAAAGAAAACCTAGCCATTTGTTTGCTTGTATTTGTTTTTGACAGGAGCACTAAGGGTGAAGTTTTGGGAACAAAAAGGCAAGCAGGTTCTACAAAATAAAGCAATATTCTCTCCAGGAACCAATCCCCAGTCATCAGAGTTGCAGGTAAACATCTACTGTGAAATCCCAACAATTGCAATCAATTGTAGATCCTATAAACATCTAAAGGTCCAGGATTCCCCCACAACAACTTAATTATATTCTCTCCAATTGTAAGAACCGTCCTTTTGGCATCTCAAAAATATTCATTATTAATATTAGCTTTTCTTTGCCAAACCGATGAGAAAAGAGAAACACAAGGGGAAGGATGGTGTATCTACTGTATTTCCAACCACATGATTCCTTATGCTGCTTGCATAAGCTGCGCTGCAGAGCGCTTCCATATCCTTTCTACATTAGAGGAAATCTATCCATAATTTTATTCCAATGTGGACAAGCACTACCTTTGTAGGGAGACTTAACTCATAAGGGAGGGGAAAAGAGACGTCTCCAAATATAGAATTTGTTCCGTCTCCCACGTTTTTTCATTGGGACAAAACATTGAACCAAGATCAACTTCAAGCTCATACTCCTCAAATTTATAATAGAGTTTGCCAGCCACGCTGCAGACGTTTCGTAACGGGAATTTCAAGAGATACGCCGTCATGAAAGCATTCTTTATACCCTCCTGTGAACACATACACAATCACTCCTATTCCTTTCATTTGAAGTGCCCCTCCTGTAGAGCTAATGCATTATCCTCTCTTCAGTGGGAGAACGGCCTCTATTTTTCCCCTTCTGCTTCTCCACGATTAAGACGGCCTCTATTTTTCCCCTTCTGCTTCTCCACGATTAAGACGCTTATGGGCCATTTGCACTGACGAGGTAAAGAGAGCTCTGCAAAACCAGGAGGTCACTGGGAGGAGGCAGAATAAGCATCCTCACGTGAGGAGACAGCAAAAGAGTTTGCCAAGGAGAAAAGTTGCCTCTGCAAAAATGTCTGAGCGTCTGTCAGACGTTTTCACAGAAGCAACTTTTCTCCTTGACATACTCTTTTGTCCTTAGATCTAGAAGCACAGCAGGCTTTATAACTTTACCACGCCAAAGGGTGGTACCGCTAAGACGCCTATCAAGTGCATCTAATATCTGCCAGTTTGAAAACTAAGCAGCATAATCAAAACCAAACAAATGTAGTTCCAAGCAATAAAAGGGTAATACACAGAACTTAGCTGCAAAGCCATTAAAAAAAAGATGAACTGGCTGAATTTGTCATTTCTGCCGCATTGAGTAGACCTTTTTAACCATTCTGACTTCATGACGTTATCTGTTTAGGACGAGGTTTCCTGCTCAAAAAGAAAACAATCTCCTTCCACTCCTTTGCATCCTTTCTTTTACAGCATTATGATTCTCCCAATATTTTCCCCTTTCCTGAAAATGTTCATAAACCAAAATGGTCTACTTTTCTCTCCCACCCCATCCCTCTTTTTTTTTTCCTCTCCCTTCAGAAGGGCGCAAGTTGCATTGGTCCAAATTTCTGGCATGCAGGTGAAGAGCCTTTTCAGTTAGAACATTCGCTCACCCACAGCAACAACCGTCAAGCTGAATATGCTGAATTCTTATTAGAGACTATCCACCTCCCTTTTTTTTTTTCTCCCCTGAAAGCTCAGCTTTTTGCTATTTCTTACTACAAACCTACACTTGGTACTAGTTAGTTGTTGACATAATTTTCATAGGCCAAACAATTATCCCAAATTCCTGGCTGCTGAAAGTCTCTTCCATAGTCATCTGCTGTTTTATGCCCTCTTCCCTAGCAAAGAGCTTCCACTCTTTCTGAGGAAAAAAGGCAGCAAAGTACAATTAACGCTAATTCGTATCAGTTTCACCAACACTCAGTCTCTGCCAACATTCAGGTTTCACATGATCACACCTTAACAAGACCACAAGCCACAGCACCTGACTACTCAGACAGGCCCACACATCTTGCACTTGGAAGGTATTTTTTTTCCCCACGCTTTTTCTGTTTTCAATTAAAGTCGGGGTTTCACAGAAGTTTGACAGCATGCTTCCACAGAAAAATCTCTTTTCATCCTGCAAAATTAAGTTACCAAATTTAGAGGTAAAACTCTCTAACAGACTAGATTATATGGAGTGGGAGAGCAGATGAAGCGATCCTGATCTCTTGCAATCCCCGATCTCTTGCAAAATGTAAAGCCTCCATGGAGATGACGCTCTAAATATCACAGTTCCGCGGAACTCTTTTAGGGCTCAAATTATAGTACTTCGACAGTAAAGTAGAAGATCTTCTAGAGTGTTTGTGTGTTTTAATGAAGGCATCTTAAAAATAGAGCTAAAAGTCCAGTTCAGCCTGTGACATACAAAAGACATAAGTCAAACAACTGCACTTACGATAGGATCACTGTTTGGACTGCAGACATACTTACCATCTGACATGTCCTTCAGAACCAGGTTCTCCAGCTCACCCCACTCTGTGTTAAGCCGCTTCATCAACTTGAATGCATTTACAGGATGTCCCAAAAATCCCTCTGGGTCTTTTGTAGCAGTATCTGTCAGCTGATCCAATTTCTCTGCCCATCTATAGTGAAAAGATGTACTAATTATAGTTTCATTTAAAAGTCTTCCGCTGTACTACAGAACTACTCAACACTCGGCTAGCAAAAAACTCAAGACAACAGTGCAGGCTTTCATGTTATCTTCTGTGTAAAGCTCTTCTGGCAGAAACAAAAAGGCCTTTTTTTATTTTGGAAAAAATCCTCTTCCTCAGCTGCAGCTTATGTTTTAAACTTGTGTTGCTCTTGTGATCTTTGCTGCAACATTGCTGAAAGAACCCCTTCCTACAAACACCAAACGAAGCGTGCCAGCAGATCCATTATGAGTTTTCACGCAGGACTAGTCAAATACAAAGCTTCACCCGCGTTTTTGGTCATGTATTTTTAAACGCACTTTTTCTACAGTTTACAAAAAGGTAGTTCAAAATACACGTCTCAAATTATTTTACTTTGAGACACTCAAATCTGTGCTAAGCTCCTCGCCTCCCACCACAAAACGGCTTTCCATATTATGAACTTACGTGAAAGAAAACACGGCTCTTGCGCTCCCAAACAAGAAGCCTCAATCAACCCAGTGATGCTATAGCTCCGTCTTGACAAATGTCCCTAATTCTTTCAGTGACATAAGCCATTCACAACTCCAATTCATTCAGAAATAAGCAAACCTTTCAACAGCTACTGCTGTTCACCTGCCTGTCACTCTAATGGAAGCATCCAGTGTACTCGAGTCCCAAGTCAACAGGCCCATCAGTCATGCCAAGAGCAACAGCACTATGCTATGTCTGCAAAACAGCCAAGTTCCCTTTCGCTATCCAAAGCGACGCAGATCTAGAACATAAAGACCTATGTTCATACGTTGTAAAGACAACATCCTGAACACAGGATAAAATAACGTGTAAAAAAGCCACACTCCACAGAGAGTATCAGGCATCAACATTAATATAAAGCAAATACAGAATCTGTAGCCTGCAGGGGACTCTGTACATGGGCTGGCAATCAGCTTGCTCCAAAACTCGGTATGCCCAAATTAAGTTCCCGTGCTTTACTCGATGCAGGTAAACGTTTAATTTCCCAACTGTTAAGCGCATGGCTGCATTCAGTCTTCCCCCATGATTTTCAAATGGTTCCCTACCATCTGACAGCCCCAGCCTGTGGTTCTTATCAGGAGCAAAGGGACAGACAGTATTATCTCCAGGAATCAATATATTCTGAAGCAGAGGGCTCAAAGTGCTCCTGTGGAACAATTGCAGCTTCTAACAAGCTGAACACTGAAGAGAATAATTTCAAGAAATCCACTGCACACTTCCCACTGCATGACTATCAAACTTATAGAGTAGCTAAAAGTCACTGCTGTAAGCCACAACCACAAGGTTAAGATTTCTTCCGAGTTGCTTCTGTTTCAGAAGAACTCCACCACAAGCCACCCACAAAGGTGTAAGACATCTTCCTCATTTCAGTACATTACTTTCATTTTTGGCTTTTTTTTTTTTTTTAAATATACTTAAGTCAATAGAAACTACCACTATCTTTCAGCTAGAGAACAGAGCCTCAAAAATGCTGTGATTTTTTTTTCCAGTTTCTTCCATCTCCGAGACAGTTATTTTAACTTTTTTGTCCTGACAGTGGACACCTCTAATATAATAAACACACAGCTGTGATGCTTATACGATGAACTGTATTTATATGTTTTTGGCTGTCCGATCTGTATACCAGGAACGCGTCCAGTTCAGTGATGCAAAAATCTTATTTTCTAGTTCTGATAAAGTCTGAGATACTGGGTTCTGGTCCTCAGACCTACAGAGCTGACCAGTGTAGTAACTGCAATGGTCAGGGCTCTCAGTTTTTTTTTTTTTTTAAAAGCAGTAAAGAAGTTTTATTTTGCTTCATTTTAGTTATAAACCAAAAAATAACACACAAAAAGAGACTCTGTTCTTATAGCAATTTACTACTACTCACTGGTAAGTCCCCTTCTAGCTTAAACACTCCTGAACAACACAACCAACACCAACAGCTTTTAGAGCTTTTACATCTAGTGCATCGTTGCAGTTTTCGTAACACACCTCTAGAGATTTCTTGGTTTTCAGGTGCCACTAAGCAGAGATCGTCTTTCAAAGACTTACATCCCTTCAGGAATTACGTGCGAGGAATCCTGACAGTGAGGATATCATACAGAAAAGCAAGCTGATGAGATTTCACCATTAGAAAGCTGCACAAAACAAATCACTGGCTTGGGGATAACAATTTAGGACAAAAAATGAGCAAAACCTGTTAGTTAATCTTTGCCCCAGAGGCTAAATTCCTCAAACTTAGTCAGCCTTGGTAAGTACTTTTTACAGTAAGGGTGGACTCAAATTATTAACCATTAGCATTAAGAAACAAATTGCTTACTTTTTGATCTGCTCCAGCTTGCTCTCCTCTGCCTTGATATAATCTTTCAGTGATACCACCAGATCTTTTTCTGTATTAATTAAGTCTGTCATATGACCTAGAAAATAAATCAACAGTTTGGTTAGACAAGGAGAAACAGAAACTGAGAACTGAAAATAGAGTTCTTCCTCCTTTCTACTCTTCCCTCCCCAAAGTACTTCTGTATTCCAAGATGCCTGAAGCAGCATTTGAATAAGCCTTTTTTTTTTGAAGGAGAAAACCTCATGCTGGACAAAGCTTGTTGCCATGGAAATTAACACAGTATTCACAAATTTATTATTAGAACTAATTTAGGATTCATTTGAAAAAGGAAGTAGGTTGCAACTGAGTAATCTTTCATCCAAGCAGATATAATGTAGAGCAAATAATGACAAAGCTACACAAATATACAAAGGCTTCACGTTTGACATACAACACTGGCCCTTTTTTTTATTTTTAAGATTATTTACATGACTTCAACGGATCCCCTAACAGTCTCTCAGTTCATAATTGCTTCCTTCCCTGCAAGCAGGCAGCTGAACTGGTTTACTGTGAAGAGAGAAACTTCACATCTTCAGTTGCGTGCGTTACGTGCTACTAGAACACAGGAGAGGGGGACTCTGCCATATCGGTATCATCATACACCCTCAACAGTTGTTTCACTTTCCTCTACATAGGTGCAATAGTCTAAATCAACATTTTGTTTAAAATTCAATACCTTTAAGAACGCACAACGCATGCAAACCCTAGCTCTCTCTTTGGACTAACTGGACTGACTTAAGTAAAAGCATATTTCTCCCCAAAGTAACAAGTCAAACAGATCATAAGAACTAATGAGTGGATTTAGTTCTGTCCTGACTACAGCCTTGTGCTCCATCAGCTCATCATTGCTGAATGAGTTTGAGAGCCGTAAAGAAATTCTTTCAGCTATGTACTATACACACCCAAGTAGGTCTTACCAATGGAAGTGAAGAAGTCCGTATGGGCATAAGAAAAAGGCAGTAGAAATCCAAGGGCTACAATATACCAAATCTTGTTGAATGCCATAGTTCAATAGCTGCCACCTCACCAGGTACCTAGGAAAGAAACAAAGTAGGTAAAACTTCCCCATTCAGAGATTCGAATCTACCTGTGAAAGAGACAGCTTATTGTCTCAGGACTGCCACTAGTTCTTCAAGCAGCAGAATTTTAGTAACAGAGGTTCACCAACCAGCAATCCGTTCTTCTTTTATAGTTCTACCCTTCATAAGTTTGAGCACAGAAGCTCTCACAGAGGTCTGACTCCATTCTACAAGACATCCTTGTGGTATTGTTGCCTTGTGCAACAGGAGAAAGAAAGAATAGCTTGGAGACAGGGTCATCACAGGCATTCGTCATCTTTTTGACAGCTAAGAAACACTGCAGATAGAGGTGTATCACAAAAAGCACCAAAAAGAAAAAACCAAGACTCCTAAAACCAAATGCTGAAGAAAATCATAATAAGAAGTTACCATACATGACATCAAGTTCATCCACCCACTGGAAAAACAGTTGCTTCTGATGAGTCAAAAAGACGCCTTGTGGAAGAGGTATAAATAAAACCCCTGTACAATCAGTCCACAGAATAAGATACTTGCATGCTCCTGCTCTTCAGCCAGCATCCACTTCCGAACGCCCACCTAGATGCAAAAGGTTACTCTGCTGGCTGATTCAAAGTCAGTCCTTAGATGATTCTATAACAGACATATCAGCCCGTGCTTTCTCCCATGAACAGCTACCAAGTTCATGGCCTTTCAGGATCCTGAACCTTCACAACGGCCTAGGAGTTCCTCAGTAACGCATACTTTAAATGTTCTCTTGGAATTCGCAAGATATGAGTTTTTCATATGCAAAAGTCTGTTCAACCTCTCAAGTATAGTATCTCCTCTGATAAATTAAAACAACTGTAGGTACTAACAGAAACTGTTTTACAACTCTTCCAGAGGCAAGACCTCATGAAAAATCTTCTACTCCCCCAAAGAAACATCCCAAAGTCAGTCCAGAAAGCTACAGAATCGCTCATCTGTTGAGGGAAGAAAGCAGCATGCTTTTGATTGAACTGACAGTACTCGTAGCGTTCAACAGAAAATCAGGTGTGCCATTCACATAAGGCGCAAATAAAATGAGAAAAGTGCAAAAATCACACCTGAAGAAAAATCACTCATCCCACAATACTCTCAGGACATCAGATTGCAGTGTCATCTTCTCTTATTGCACATTAAGGGTCATCAAGCAATTCATGCCTTTCCTTTTCATCTCTTGCACTACAGAAAGACAGATACACAGATCTGGATTTACTGAGTCTGTGGACTGCTTCTTGGGCAGGACAAGAGCAGTGTCACTGGCGGCGCGAACAGGAACAAGAGGAAACTCACAAGCGCCTAGCAGAGCAGGGCGGTCTCAAACTCTTGCAAACCATCTGAAACCTCCATGACCAAAACCCACAGATTTACCAGCAAAAGGAAAGCTGTAAAGTAAAAACGCGGAGAGGGAAAGCCTGGAGCCCTGCTTTTTTCCCCAGTCGAGTCAGAGGCCTCAGTGCCACAAACGCTCTAAACCAGCACTTTGTCCACAGTCGCTTCTACAGAAAGGAAGCTTTCTCACAGGGAGATTTACTTTCACTTTCTACTTCAAAGCTGCATCCACATGCACAGGGACAGTGAGGTGTACCTGAGCTCCCAGTAAAAAAAAAACTGCTCCATTTCCTGCTTTGCTTTCCAGAAAGCCGAGGACCTGCTGCTCATTCAGCACTCAAGCAAACACATCCATGAATCCATTACAAAGCACAGTTCTACTACACAATAAATATTTTCTAGTGTTATCAGTACTCAGAATTAATCGAGCTGTTTATTGCGCTCAATAAAACACAAGGAGGCCATCATCCAAGTTACTTTAGTATTAATCAAGATGAAACCTTAAAAAAAGAAAAATATACTATGAGAAAAGATATCTCCTCTCTACCAAGTGGCTTAGTGTCAGTCTTCCACCTAGCAAGACAGAACAATGTCTTAAAGCCCGAGGGGTAACGTGCTTTGGAAACAGTTTTTCCTCTTCTTTACAAGGACAGCAGTTAAGCACTGGAACAGGCTGCCCAGAGAAAACGGCTTTTCTCTTCTTGGGAGAGTGTCAAAACTCAATAGGATAAGTCCCCCTGCAACCTAACCTCCAAGCTCACCCAACTTTAAGCAGGAGGTTAGACAGGATGACCTCCACCTTCATTTTCTCTTTCATTTCAGTCTTCAGCTTCTCTGTCACTTGCGAGGACTGACAAACTTTCAGTCACGCCCAACCGCTTCCCTCCCAGCTGGAATTCAGGTAGTTGGAAAGGGAGCCCAAGGCAGCGGCCAGCCAAGCTTTCACTGCCCTAACAACAGTTGCTAAGTAGCACAGCTTTTAAAAGGACCAGCTACAGGTTCCCAAATCAACAAAAACAAAACTCAGTTAACACAGATGCTGGAAATCTCTTAGACACGCAGGCTGCCAAGTAAAGTAGGCTTATTTTTTTTCCTATCACTGACATGAAGTAAATCAAGATGAAAATCCTCTCTACGTTATTCCTGTCTAGTCTGACTCTCCTCCTCAACTGTCCCTCAGGCAAGTGCAAAGATAGTAGTTCAGCAGCTTACAGAGGAGGGAATCTACTGCCCACATAGAGAAGAAATGATTTTACTCCTGATTTCAGTGGGAGTCAGGCTGATAGCTGTAAACCACAAGTTTCCTGACTTTCTATACAAAGTATGTTTGCTAAGCTTTGAAACAGTGAAACACGGCAGAGCAAAACACACACACACAAGCTCACTCGGGAAATAGCAAAAAACAAGCAAATTTGAAATAACATATATGCAATTAAGATAAAGCTGCAATTGGAAAAACCGTACTGCCAAACGTGGCATAGCATTCCATAGCAGGGATGGACGAAAAATGCCACTTCCTACGTTGAAGCTCAAGGTTTCTCCTTGAGCTCTTGTATAGTCTTCATCTTTGCTCTGCAAGGGGAAACAGGATTGCAAGAGACGCATCAGAACGGGTGCGCATGTAGCATCCATGCAAGCAGAAAGGAAGAGCAAAGTTAAGACAAACTACAGAGACTGATACAACCTCAAAACCACCAAAGTTGCACTGATTGGTGACCAAAAACCAAAGTGTTTGTCTGAATGTGCTTTTTATACAGCCACCAACACCACCAATTCCAAGCTCCCAGGTGCCTACCAGGACCCAGAAAGTAAGAAGCGACAGATGAAAAATGGAAACTGAGGGTGTACTCGCATATGAGATTATGATGCTCACTGCAATGAGTTCACCCTACGAACAGGGTTCAAGGGTTATTATCGTGTGACACGACATGCTTGGAAATATCACTCAAAATGAAATACTTAGGAGATTTGGGAAAGTTCTTAAGCATCAGGAGTAGTTAATTCCCATCATTCTTTAGCAGTCTCGGTACCGAAACGCAGGAATTCAATTATCTAAGTTCTCTGTCGGGTAGTATTTAAAGGCTGATTTTAATTCCAGATCTAAGCGGTGAGAGAAGAAAGCAGATTTTCTACAACTGCTACTAACACAAGAACATAGGATGTTTTAAGCATCTTTTTACTGTCAAAGTTGCAACGTAAGTACCACTTTGAAGAAGTCTGCCGATTAGTGATATTTTTCTAATTTTTTTACTGGTTGGTAGTACAAATAAAGGACTTCGTGTTCCTACTTTTATTTGAAAGGGATAAAAAAAAAAAACAGCCAATATACTACATCTCTGAGATCTTCAAGCCCCTCTCTTTCTGCAAGACAGAAGCTTTTTCCAATAAGGGATAAGAATCAATTTTAGAGTCAAAGTAGCTAATAAATGTATTTTAAGTTTCATTTATCACTACCTTGTATGGAAGTCAGCATTCAAGATATTCTGACTATAAAACCGGAATGTCTGTACACAGATTTGTTCCTAAGAAACTAAAGCAAGTTTCTCCTTGTTTCTTCCAGCCTAAGACTGAATGGACACAGTCCTTTCACAGCCCACTAGTTTTAACTTTCTAAGTCATGTCAAATAACACTGGCACTGCAGTGCAGCACTTATCTTTTTAGACACAACAAGCAGAAAGCTATCCTTCTAGCTATACTCTGCTAATCCTTGAGCAGAGAATTTAAGAGATGCACAGAATGTTTTCAGATATTAAAAGTAATTATAAAGAAAAAAGGAAAGTTCCAATGATCAGCAGCTCTACAGCTGAAGAACAGTAACAGATAAAAGTTATTTTAGGCTAAAGTTCTAGCCCAGCAGGTTGCTCTGCAACAGCAGAAAGCTTATTCATCTTTTGAGAGGAACACTGAAGTTACTGGAATAATATCGCCTAGAAACACACAGTACAAGCGACAACAAAGATATTGTTTCAGCACAGACTTTATTCACGGTCTTTCTTCTGTTAAATATACTCCGTTCATAAAGTTTTTCAACAAGTATACCGTGTTGCACCACTTTCAAAAACAAACAAACAAAGAGGTGTTTCTTTATCTGTTTCGATCTCAACACGTAGGTAGAATCCTCCTCCCACAAACCTGTGTTTATCTTCATTCCTTCTGTGGGGTTGGTCATTACTTGTCATTTGTGTTTATCAAACTGCCCCAGATATATTCTAATCTGTGTGCAGGCCTCAAAATAGTTTCAAAAGCTAGAATTTAAAACCACTCATTATGCAGCAATGTTTAAATCTATAGGTCAGAGATCTTCTCTCTCTTTTAGCTCCACATATAGGTCTCAATGCATATATCCACTCTGTAGTTCAAGACAAGTCTCTGCAGCAGCTCCTGGCTCCATACTACCACCTTAGTTGTGCCAGCAAAAGGCCCATCACTTGTGGGGCTCCACACCGAATTAGCAAAGGGAAGTAATCCACACCAAATAGCTATTTCTTACTGGGAGATGAGGAAGTGATTCTTCCTCCCTCACGCTTCCACTATGGTTTGCTATGCGACAGCACAAGCAGATGTACTAGCACTGACTGGGAACTGCTCTGAACAGTACTGCCTCTAGAAGTAGTTCTTCAAACGGTGCTTCTCTTCAGTAGCT